TATGGGGACAGGACAACTTCACCGCATCAAAGGGACGATGGACAGGGCCATGTACCGTCAAATCTTGGGTGAGAACCTCCTTCCCTCAGCCAGGGCATTGAAAATGGGTCGTGGATGGGTATTCCAGCATGACAATGACCCAAAACACACGGCCAAGGCAACAAAGGAGTGGCTCAAGAAGAAGCACATTAAGGTCCTGGAGTGGCCTAGCCAGTCTCCAGACCTTAATCCCATAGAACATCTGTGGAGGGAGATGAAGGTTCGAGTTGCCAAACGTCAGCCTCGAAACCTTAATGACTTGAAGAAGATCTGCAAAGAGGAGTGGGACAAAATCCCTCCTGAGATGTGTGCAAACCTGGTGGCCAACTAGAAGGAACGTCTGACCTCTGTGATTGCCAACAAGGGTTTTGCCACCAAGTACTAAGTCATGTTTTGCAGAGGGGTCAAATACTTATTTCCCTCATTAAAATGCAAATCAATTCATAACATTTTTTACATGCGTTTTTCTGGATTTTTTTGTTGTTATTCTGCAAATACTTTTTCCCTCACTGTATCTAATAGAACTCAAAGGGTTTTCTTTAATGGAAGCTCTAATGTCAAACATGTCTAGGCCCTCTACTATTTTGTATTTTTACCAATGACCTGCCACTGGCATTAAAGAAAGCATGTGTGTCCATGTATCTGATGATTCAACCATATACGCATCAGCAACCACAGCTAATGAAGTCACTGAAACCCTTAACAAAGAGTTGCAGTCTGTTTTGGAAAGGGTGGCCAGTAATAAACTGGTCCTGAACATCTGTAAAACTAAGAGCATTGTATTTGGTACAAATCTTTCCCTAATTTCTAGACCTCAGCTGAATCTGGTAATGAATGGTGTGGCTGTTGAACAAGTTGAGGAGACTAAATTACTTGGATTACCTTAGATTGTAAACTGTCATGGTCAAAACATATAATAATAATATGCCATTTAGCAGGCGCTTTTATCCAAAGCGACTTACAGTCATGCGTGCATACATTTTTTTTTGTGTATGGGTGGTCCCGGGGATCGAACCCACTACCTTGGCATTACAAGTGCCGTGCTCTACCAGCTGAGCTACAGAGGACCAGATTCAATGGTTGTAAAGATGGGAAGAGGTCAGTCCGTAATAAAGAGAAGCTCTGTTTTTTGACACCACAATCCAAAAAGCAAGTCCTGCAGGCTCTAGTTTTGTCTTATCTTGATTATTGTCCAGTCGTGTGGTCGAGTGCTGCAAGGAAATACCTAGTTAAGAAGAGACTGACTGCATCACTCCTTATTTCTATAAGAAACATTGTATTGAAAATCCCAAATAGTCAACTGACACACACACTTACCCCACCAGACATGCCACCAGGGGTCTTTTCACAGTCCCCAAATCCAGAACAAATTCAAGAAAGCGTACAGTATTATATAAATAATGGAGGGAGATAAATCGACCTTAAATAAAGGTGAATTTTTTTATTTTATTTTTAAACAGTATTATATAGAGCCATTATTGCACTTCCATCTCATATTGCTCAAGTGAACAGTAAACCTGGTTTCAAAAAACAGATAAAACAACACCTCACGGCTCAATGCCTCTCCCCTATTTGACCTAGATAGTTTGTGTGTATGTATTGATATGTAGGCTACGTATGCCTTTTGTAAAAAAAAAATATATATATATGTATTTCTGTCTTGAACTGTTGTCTATTAATGTTCTGTATTATGTCATGTTTCATGTTTTGTGTGGACCCCAGGAAGAGTAGCTGCTGCTTTTGCAAAAGCTAATGGGGATCCTAATAAAATACCAACAAAAAACAACCTGGATTGCTGAGACTATGTACTAGGGCTGTTGAGAGGCCTTGAATCCACCTGTCAGCCATATTGTCACTCCCCAGTAGGAGCAGACCTCCATAGGAATTAATGGAATTCTACAGTATTTCAATTGAATGTTTCAAGGACAAAATTACATGTATTTAAGTATTATTTTTTTTGTAGTGGGGACAGTAACACTACTCTAAAAATAAATACTTTAAGGAAAATGTTTTTATTTGTATGTTGAACTCACATAATATAATTTCAAAGTATGCATTAAGGTGTCTGTAATAGAATACACGTGTCAAAAACGAATGTAGACGTTAATAAATGCATTTCTATAGCTTCCAAAATGTACCAACATGGCTTCGCGGTGTCTTCAATACAGCGCCCCCTGTCAGTCATCCAGGGTTTATACACATTGGTTTAAACGCAGCCAGAGTAACACACACGCACGCACGCACGCACGCACACACACACACACACACACACACACACACACACACACACACACACACACAGAGAGACATACATTTGAGCAAGTCCTGGGTGTCTAATGTGGCTTCGTCCCTTCATCTGCACTACTGCTAACGTTGGCATTTCGCACTTATCAATCCAGTTCATTCAGAATGCAGATGGAGAAGATAAGGGGAATATTTAACTTTAGTTAAATGCACGGCACGCCCATTTCATCTTGACGGGTGGTTTGTGGTAGTGGTGTAGTGTTTTACCCATGGTTTTATCGCTCCCTAGTGTTCAATGATGGAAACAGACTCAAACCTTCTCTGTTAATTTCTCAGTATGATGATAGGAGCTACTCTATATATACAAAAGTATGTGGACACCCCTTCAAATGAGTGGATTCGGCTATTTCAGCCACACCCGTTGCTGACAGGTATATAAAATCGAGCACACAACAATGCAATCTCCATAGACAAACATTGGCAGTAGAATGGCCTTACTGAAGAGCTCAGCGACTTTCAATGTGGCACTGTCATAGGATGCCACCTTTCCAACAAGTCAGTAAGTCAAATGTATGTCCTGCTAGAGCTGCCCCGGTCAACTGTAAGTGCTGATATTGTCAAGTGGAAATGTCTAGGAGCAACAACGGCTCAGTCGCGAAGTGGTAGTACACACAAGCTCACAGAATGGGACCGCTTAGTGGTGAAGCGTGTAAAAATCGTCTGTCCTCGGTTGCAACACTCACTTTGAGTTCCAAACTGCCTCTGGAAGCAACGTCAGCACAATAACTGTTCTTCAGGAGCTTCATGAAATTGGTTTCCATGGCTGAGCAGCCGCACACAAGCCTAAGATCACCATGCGCAATGACAAGCGTCGGTTGGAGTGGCGTAATGCTCGCCACCATTGGACTCTTGAGCAGTGGAAATGCGTTCTCTGGAGTGATGGATCACGCTTCACCATCTGGCAGTCCTATGAACTAATCTGGGTTTGGCGGCTGCCAGGAGAAAGCTACCTGCCTCAATGCTTAGTGCCAACTGTAAAGTTTTATGGAGGAGGAATAATGCTCACAGGCTGTTTTTCATGGTTCGGGCTAGGCCCCTTAGTTCCAGTGAAGTGACATTCTAGACGATTCTGTGCTTCCAACTTTGTGGCAGCAGTTTGGGGAAGGCCTTTTCCTGTTTAAGCATGACAATGCTCCTGTGCACAAAGCGAGGTCCACAGAAATGGTTTGTCGAGATCGGTGTGGAAGAACTTGACTGGCCTGTACAGAGCCCTGAGCTCAACTCCATCAAACACCTTTGGGATGAATTGGAACGGCGACAGCGAGCCAGGCCTAATCGCCCAACATCAGTGCCCTGCCTGACCTCACTAATGCTCTTGTGGTTGAATGGAAGCAAGTCCCCGCAGCAATGTTCCAACATCTAGTGGAAAGCCTTCCCAGAAGAGTGGAGGCTGTTATAGCAGCAAAGGGGAACCAACTCCATATTAATGCCCATGAATTTGGAATAAAATGTTCGACGAGAAGGTGTCCACAAACTTTTGGTCATGTAGTGTATTTTGCTTCCAAGAATTTGCTTTATTCTAAGCTTCTTCTTCTTCTTCTTCTTCTTCTTCTTCAGTGGGGTTTATCGGCGGTTGGCATCCAACGGTATGGTGCATTACCGCCACCTACCGTACTGGAATGTGGGCCAGAAACAGGGAGAAACTAAATCCTACCTGCCAACCCCGTTTCTCTTTAAAAAGATAACAAAATATTTGAGACTATATCTAATGACGTTCTGCTCAATATACTCTTTAAACTAATTTCCTGTATCCCCTTCTCCCTCATACTAAATCTCATCCTCTCTCTTTCCCTCTGATACTGCCCATACTGTAGTAATACATGCTCCACACTCTCTATTTCCTGACAATAATCCCACTTTCCTAATGGATGCTTTCCTATCACGTTTAATGTATTATTCAACTGGCTGTGTCCCACCCTTAATCTTGTAAAAATAGCCTCCTCTCTTCTGTCCCTTCCTGCCGTCCTCCCCTCCCTGAATTTCCTCTGTACTTGAAATAAATGCCTTCCCTTATTATTTCTATTCCACTGCTCCTGCCATCTCTGCACCATCACTGTATATATCAGTCTTTTTGCCTCTGCCTTGCTCATTGACACTTCAACATCAACATCCCCACTACTAAGTGCTTGTTTAGCCTGTTCATCTACTGCCTCGTCCACATGGGCCGGAACCCAAGTAAATCTTATCTGAATACCCATCTGTTTAATCCTGCCATGGGTTTGTAGCACCTCATAAAGCAGGTATTGTCTGCTACGTGAGCTAAAGGACTGGAGACTCATTAACACTGCACATGAATCAGAGCAAATAACTATTCTGTCTGCAAGGCCAACATTATAGCCATCAGCTCTGCCGTATATACAGCCAGATGATCTGTAATACGTTTCCTGACTTCCACCCCACATTCCTGCACTACAAATGCTGACCCAGTACGTCCTGTCCTTGGATCTTTTGAACCATCTGTGTAAATGGCCACAAAATCCTGATACACATTTTCCAGACGTCTCTTATATTCTAAAATCAGAAATGTGTCTGGCCTTTAACGTATACATTTTTCAGATGGGAGTTGTAGTTTAACTACACATAAAGGTAACGTTTTTTGCCTAGACGGAAACTCAGTCCCATGATTCACTTGGCTACTACTGCAAGGGCACGCCTACGCTAAATAAAACCATCGACGGTAATCCTTCATTACTAGAACCTGATGCGGGTACTCTCTGACTGTTAGCTAGCTAGTATTTGCACTGTTATAATAAGAAAATGGACAACTCGGGGAAAGAGAAGGAAGCGATTCAGCTTATGGCTGACGCTGACAAGAAAGTTAAAACTTCTGGCTCGTTCTTGGGAGGCATGTTTGGGTAAGAACGCTGCAGTAGCAAGAACGATGTCAATACAGCTAACGTTAGCTAGCGCATCATCAGTAAGCATGCTAAATCAAACTCTCTGGGTATTATGTTTAGCTATCGTTAGATATTAATTATTGGCACCAGGCCATGTAGCTATATAATGCTACAAGAAGTCACTGTGACTATAGGTATTTAAGGGACATACCTCAGTCCAAGCATGCCATAGTAAACATGTATCATAAAAAGAACGCGCTAGTAGCTAGCTAGATCATCATGAAGTCTGAGTTTAGCCATTTGGCTAGCTAGCAATGCCATTGAGGCTTCTAATTAGCAAGCTGCCTAATGTTACCTAGTCAGCTAATCTAAACCTTGAAATATGCAGACAATGGCGATCTGTCAAATTTGGGCAGTGGATCTGATGTTAACTAGCTAACGTTACCTATGCATCTTTTGGATGATTTGTGGACATCCTGTACATTTAGCTACTGACACTGTCTACCACAAAGCAGCTAAATTAATCCATTTTCAAGTGAATGTAAACAACTTAGCAGCCGGTCACGAATCTTGGGCCTGAGGCTGTGCCATGAAAGCTAGCTAAAACGGCTAAGGCCCAAATGGCAGGCTATTACTCTGCATACATACATTTTAATTGTTCTAGTTGCATTTTTTTTTACGCCTACTCACAAGATATAGGGTAATTTGATACAGCACACCAATTCGGTCTTGTCTTTTTTAATCCTTTCTATGAGTGTATATATCTATAAGTGTAATCCTATATGCCACCTTTGTGTGACATATTTATAAATGCATTTGCCAGTAATTTATTCCAATAGAATAGTAGGACGTAGGAGTAGGTGTCTGCCAATTCTAAGGCCACTGCAATGCAGGTCAGTCAGGTTAGTCCCTGGTGCATCTAGCCAGCCAGACTTGGGAGGATCCTATATTTAGCAGCCTATTGTTGCCTGTTGCCTGTCTGTCGGTACCATACAATATTAGTGAACAGAAGAATACTGTTGCATATGATACATTTGGTGTACATACACTAAGACTTACTGCATTCAGTTCCTGGCAGACATCCAATTGTCTTCTTAATTAAATGAAATGTCTCTCAAAGCAATGTAATGGGAGAGGTCTAAATCTGACACATCTTACTCTCCCTCATTAGAGAAAAGCCTCCCTATATGTCTGGCCTCAGGGTACAGCCTTTCTACTGTACTATATCAGTGGAAAACCATTAGGATCTTTCAGTTTTAGGTATATCCATTTGGCATCAGCAATGCGTTGTTACTGTGTGGATTGTCAGGAGAGTGTTTAATTTGGTACGATCAATGACTGAATATAATTTAACACTCTGTTTTTGACTGCAACTAGGCCATGTAGCTAGAAATCTAATCAACAGGAACAGCTGTCAAACTTGCAGCACGCCAGACATCAAATAAGGATGTCTGGTATGCTGCATCAAATAAGGACCGACATAGGGTCGGCATAGCCTGACATAGGGTCGGCATAGCCTGACATAGGGTCGGCATAGCCTGACATAGGGTCGGCATAGACTGCTTGATCTTGAATCTACACACAATAGAGGAACGCTGATGAAGGCTTTAAAAACCCTCTGCTTTCTATTAAACCGTGTGGTTGTTAGGCCTATGATGTTAGAAGGACTGGACTGAGTTGCTAATCACCAGCTGTGTACAATATGTCCTATTTATGTGAGTGATTGGGCAGGATTCAGTCAGATTGAGGACATTGATTTGAGTAGGCAGTGACACTGGGTATTGGATCAGTGAACTGTGGTGTGGACGGTGATTTCTGTTTTGATCAGGCTAAGGAGAGTGTGTGAGATGGGACTATGGCTCAGTGCGTTGTTGCTTTAAGTCTAAGAAGTAACCCACAACATGTCTACTCCACTGTCCACTGTATGCTCAGGGTGCCTGTATGATAAAGACAATAGCTTTTTTCGAGTGCATCCAAACCGTGATGTATCATCGGTAAATTGAGACAAGCTGACTGATCTACAAATAATATTGAGTAGTTATTTATGATGCAAGGTGATTTGTAGATTAAAAGTCGTCTGCAATGTCGAACGCACCCAAATGATGTCATCCTGGTCAGAGCATCATTCGTCTACAGCTGGAGGAAACTCCCAGGGAGTCGGGTCTGGTAGTAGATCGCAGAGAGAAATCTATATCATCACCGTCCAACATCAGCTGACTGATGTCTTCACTCTAAGCAGCATAAGGGCCTGGTGAATAGAAAGTGCTTGGTTGATGAAAGCACTGCACTGCATTTTCTGGTATTTTCGACCACATTGTGTCGTGGTCTGTTAATCCTATGTATTTTTCTCTCTACAGCGGACCTCATAAAGTTGAGGAGGCATGTGAGATGTACTGCAGAGCAGCTAACATGTTCAAGATGGCCAAGAACTGGAACGGTACACTTCTGTCTGCTCTATTTCACACTAAACACGGTTGACCTTGATGGAATGATTCGCCCATTAGTCATTGCGTGTCATTGTGTGCATTTTTGACGAAGGTTGTAATTAAAACAAACGTTATTTAAATGCTGTCAGTTTAGGAAGACTCAGTTGTCCTTTTTCCAGTTGACTCTGTAGATAGGCGAGATGTCTGTAATTTCCAGTAGCCTACACGCATGGAAGACCATGGCAGTGTGTGCTGCCTGCTGCCCTCTGTGTGGCGGGAGGGAGTCATTGCAGTTTGGAGTCATTTTAGCTGTGTGATTGCATCTGTAGTAGCGCAGCACTATTCTTGGAGGGCCTCGAGGAACAAGGCCCAAAGAATGTTCTTCATGTTGCGGTTACGTGTGTGTCGTTCTGTCTCTCCAGCTGCTGGTAATGCGTTCTGCCAGGCGGCCCGGATCCACATGCAGCTCCAGAACAAACACGACTCGGCCACCAGCTTCATCGATGCAGGAAACGCCTTCAAAAAGTCTGACCCCAACGGTGAGACACACACCACACAATCAATCAATCAATCAATCAATCAATCTAATGTGGTCAGCAAGCAGGGTAACATGATGAAATACATACAGTCCGTGCAGAAGATAGTAAAAAGAACCAGAGATGAACATACACCACACAATCAGTCACTAGACTGCAGTAATTCTCCCCAAACAGCCTGCTTTAACTTCCATTTTCTACATTTTTGTCCCTTATGAAAGCAGCAAATAACGTAGTGAATCTGATGTTGGGTGTTCATTTCTCAGGGCTAATAGAAGTCAGTGGGATGTGTCAGTCAGATAGATCCACAGGCAGCAGTGGGAGTTGAGGTTCTAGAACTGTAACTGGAGCAGACTGGGCTCTACGGAGAAGCAGGTCTACAGGGACAATTCCAGTCCTTTCTTAGTGACACACATGTGATAAGTCCCCGTCTCTTGTAGTGTGTCAGAAATCAGGCCACCCTGTATAGGTTGTCTGTTTGTATCTGACGTGGGCCAATCATATTCTTCCCCAGGGTTAGATCAGAGGAGATAGAGCCCTGCTATATTACTCTGACTATATTGCAAACCAATTGTATTTGAGTACCATACAATAACTATCTATTGAACTGAATGGAGTAGAATTGAGTAGCTCGCCAGTGCTCCCTCCTCTCCACCTTTGGTATGATTAATACTGTAGAGCTGTGGGGCTGGAGTCCCAACCCTGGGATGGTTATTATTGAGGTTAGTCTACCATGCTGTCTGACTGGAAGTGGATTTTATGAATAAACCCCGGTTGCCACCCACCCACCAGCAGTGGTGGTGATTGAATTATAGCCTACTGTACTGTAGCCTAGCATATATCCTCCTAGCTAGATTAAATACACAGCCAGCCACAAGGATAAATTATACGATTGAATATTATGTCACTTTGAACTAACCCTGGAGTACAATACAATTAATATTATTATATAGGATTTATGGCATTTCCAGATGATAACCTAAACCAGAGTATGTGAGCGGAGTTGAGCGGTCGGAAGTCCTTTCCAACCATTCCGCTAAAAAATGCTCCTCACTCACAGGAAAGAAACTGCCACTCCAAATTCGCTCCATTCATTAAAATCACAATTTAACCAACACCCATCAATGCTTGTGACTTACCTAGACCTACCATTTTTGGTTTTGAAGTATTGAAACCAAACCATATGATTTGAATGAAAAGTATTATTATAAACATGAAAAGTTGAATGTAAGAAGTGCTCATCATTTCAAATAGGCTACATGTCGTATTAAACAGCAAATAAACACTCTAAATAGGTCAGGAGCCAGACAGGGAGCCGAAGAAGGAACTGAATATCCTCTCCACACTTGCAGAGCCACTGGGGATGCTAAACACCCTTCTGGTCACTCTTACCAGGCTGGACAGGGATATAGTTTATTTTTATAGGTAGTCCTAAAGGTCTTTAGGCAAAATAACCCAATCAAAACAGAAAGCTCCTTGAAAGTTGGAATATGCCAGGGCCTATTGGGACAAAATCAATTATGGCCTATTGTATATAGATAATAGAACAAAAATGAAGGAAACTTTTAAGAGATCGGATTTTTTGTTTATAAATACTTTGCTACACTGACACACTTAATTAGCTACCCACCTTGTTCCTTTATTTTAGCATGTGCACAAAGTAAGCACACCATCATGCTTTTAGGATAAGTGTCTTTTCAGATTCCACAATGATTCTTTAGTTGTGGACACTACATCACCGCACTCCCTCTCTTGGTCCTCATCTTTGTAAGTCACCTTAATTTTGCACCGCTGTGTTTTATTAGTTTCTTTATGAAAATATTTAGCTAACTCCATGACAGTAGCTAAAGCAAGGGGCTATAGCAGCACACAAGACTACAAATGCATGCTGGGCCGGGCATGCCGTGAAGTGAACGCTATTGGAGCGAATTTGGAACAGGCGAGAAGGCCGACGCTCTAGCCTCTGGCATCTCGCTCCGCGCTCCAGTCAAATTGGGCATGCTCTGCTCCACGCTCCAGCAAATTGGGCATGCTCTGCTCCTCGCTCCGCGCTCCAGTCAAATTGGGCACGCTCTGCTCCTCGCTCTGCTCCTCGCTCTGCGCTCCAGTCAAATTGGGCACGCTCTGCTCCTCGCTCCGCTCACATATTCTGACCTAAACTAAGAAAGGGGAATGGATGCTCAGAGGTGACAAAATAATCGTAATGCATTCATTGTGCTTTCATTCTTTACAGTTTTCAGAACCCTCCTTTTGGATGTGAACATTTTGACTCTGTTGTAATATGTATCTAACCTACTTTATCTAATACTGCCTCTGCCAGTCTAACTCTCCCCTCTTCCTTTAATGCTGCCAATAGAGGCTATCAAGTGCTTAAACGCAGCTGTTGATATATACACAGACATGGTAAGACAGACGCTCACAGACCGGGACATGCTTGGCCAGAACCATATAATGCATTGTCATGTGTCAACGTCATCACAGATTGTTTTACTTGTCAGGATTGATCCTTTTAGCCGTAGTTGTAAAAATGTTCTGATAATGCCTGTTCTCCTCTGTATTTCCAATGCTATTCTCTCACTAGCACCCTGCCTATAGTGTAGCCTAGCCCCCTTGAGGACGCTCCTCTCTCTCGGTTTCAAGAGGGTGATGTACTGTATTGTTAGTATGGAGTGGACACTCAATGTCTGACGAAGGCCATTTCAACTGCAACATGTAGGTTAAGTTAAAGGACTTGACTTTCTGTCTGTATACTTACAGCTGTATTTATGACTGGAGTGGCTCTTCTCCGTAACGTCAGTTAGTAATGATTTCTCTTCTCTGTCTAAAGCCACTTAGTAATGATCAGGACCCAGAGTATTTCCTGGTCTGGCCACATTAGTAAGGTAAAACTCCCGGCTCCAGTATTGATTCCTGTCCTGTGTTTTGCTCGTCCAGGGAAGGTTCACCATCGCAGCCAAACACCACATCACCATCGCAGAGATCTACGAGTCAGAACTGGTGGATATAGAGAAGGTACGTTTTAATGTTGTGTCGTAGTATATGGACTAATAAGGTGTTAGTCTGTGTATAGCAAGAGTAAAATACATGATATGGAATAGCTTACCAATTTCACAGTTTCATTTCCTTATTGGTGATTAAAAAAAATATATGTTGGTACATTAGAATGAAAATTCCTTTGCGTTTTCTTGATCTTTACTCAAAACTGTTTTGGTTTCCCATTCTCCCTGGTCCTGGTCTAGGCCATCGCCCACTATGAGCAGGCAGCAGACTACTACAAAGGAGAGGAGTCCAACAGTTCTGCCAACAAGTGTCTGCTGAAGGTGGGGGCCTACGCCGCTCAGTTGGAACAGTACGCCAAGGCCATCGAGATCTACGAACAGGTGTGTGTCCCACCTCTGCATGCATGCTTGTGTGTGCATGTGTGTGTCTGAACAGAAACTGATTTGTATATTAGTGGTTTCCCAATTAAATTGATGAACACAGTGAATCAACAATGTTTGTGTGCGTGTCTCTCCAGGTGGGATCCAGCACCATGGATAACCCCCTGCTGAAATACAGCGCCAAAGAGTACTTCTTTAAAGCCTCTCTATGTCACTTCATCGTGGATGAACTCAACGCTAAGGTCAGTTAGCAATTAGCAGCATCATGTCCACTAGACCAGAGGGTTCAGTCCTTTTCTGATTAAATGAAGCAGTAATCTATCATTCATTTCTGCAGCTTGCTGTGGAGAAGTACGAGGAGATGTTCCCAGCCTTTTCCGACTCAAGAGAGTGCAAACTGTTGAAGGTAGGTCAGTGACTCCATCGAAAGCCTTCTATTTGTTAATTGTATCCCTTTATGTCAGGGATCATCAACTAGATTCAGCCACGGGCAGATGTTTTTCTTAAACGGATGGTCGGGGGCCAGATATATTTGACAAAAAACATAATTTCAAACCTTGCTTACATTAGTATACGATCACGTCTCAATATGCGTGGGAATACTTTGGAACAGATTTCCGATTTGCTGGTGTTTTGAAAGTCTTATGTCCGCAATAAAAAATGTATAAAAGAAAACATTGTTTTATTTTTTGCTCAGAAAACTTGGGGGGCCAAATAAAATCACCTGTGGGCTTCCAGTTCAGGAGCACCGCTTTATGGTGTTGGTTAGGGTAATGGATTGAAGTTATAGTACAATGTGTACAGTTCATTATATCGCAACGCACTTGCATAGTATGACGTATGTTGTCCACTACCAATGTAAAACACCTACCTCTGATGCACGACAGCCATTTTGCGGAAGCCACCTGACAACCTTAAATCACTGTTGTTTTACAGAAACTCCTGGACGCTCATGAGGAACAGAACTGCGAAGCTTTCACAGAAGCAGTAAGTCTTCATTTTGGATTGATTCACCAGGCTAACTGCTTTGTCGTTACTTATAATTGAATTGGTGAAAGCCAGGTCTCCAGTACATGTCTTTTCACGATTACAGTCATGCAAGATCAGTAATTATTTTAATGGGGGGAAAAAAGGATTGATTTCTTTTGTATTTGAACAGGTTCTTAGACTTCATCTTATTCCCTCCCTCCTCAGATTAAAGAGTTTGACTCCATCTCTCGTCTGGACCAATGGCAGACCACAATGCTGCTGCGCATCAAGAAGACCATCCAGGGGGACGAGGGGGACCTGAAGTGAGACTACACCGGGGGAACATATCACCACAGGGGCACACATCATGGCATGCCACCCCCTCTCCCCCCTTACTCCCTCATACCATATTGTTTTTGTGCAATGACTGTCCAGGTTCTTATATTTACAGTATGAGTTAGTTACAAGTTAACTTAAGCTGCAATTTGTAGGCCTATAGAGAATCTGTAGATGAGTATGTGTACCCTGTTAATTCTGAATGTTATAATGTTGAATTCTATTATATGAAGTTAATATCGCCAAACCCTAGTTAGGATGTGAATCTACAGTCATACCTCTTAATGGAGGATAGATGCTGTACATTTCCTGTTTAGTGGTGAGTAACCTCAGAGAAGGGCAGAGAGGCGTTCTACTAACGCATAATCACTGATGTTACTATTGAGAGCATAAACACTGCATGATTGTACAGTTGTAATTCATTATTCTATAGGTTCAGCATATGTGACTTATCTAGAAATTAGTATTTAAATATATTTAAAGATTACTTTTATGAGTTTGTGAGCATTTTTTTGATTTGTGAATGTATGATTATTTCCATTGTCTTTCCTTGGCTTCCAACTTAAATGTCTTAAAGGGATTTAAAAAGGAGATGTCCATTACTTCAATATCATAAATGGTTCTTGTAAACTAAAGTATTCCAGCCTGAGTGATGACAATTAATTGTTTCATATCCAAAACACCCAGGAAAAATGTATTCTTATTCTTGACAAGGACAATTGATACACATTAAAGTTAGACAATCAAGACATGACCAGAAAGCATATTGGAAATGCAGTATCCAAAGTTGGCTTTGTTTTTTTTAATATTTTTCCCATATCATTTCTTATTCTGTATTATTTACGAGGGTGTTCTCTACAAATATCATCTTTACAAATGTTTTGGTTAATCTGCCAATGTGAGGTGACTTCCTAATTCTGCTTGTAATTTTATTTTATTTTTTAATGCAGAGCCAGGAAAAAAGCAAAGAAAGTCCCTTGCCCTCTTGTCAGAGCAGTGTCACTTCTAAACTCCAGCGTGTTATTTCAGTGTAACTCATGTCGATGTGTTGTGAAGTTGTAACCATGTTGGTGTATACTAGTGCACCGTCCTGCTGGCCACTAGCAGAGCTGCATGTCATTGTGTGTGTAGTTTATAGCAGTCAGCCTGCATATCAAGCTTCTTTCAGATAGCATAGTGCTCTTCTTTTTATTTGGTCTGAGAATGAACAGAAATAAAGACATATCTATCATGTTCTCTGTTAAGTCTCAGTACTGATATTGCTGTTTGTCGAAAACACAAAATGGAAAACCCATCTGAAGACCTACAATCCACTCAGTTTGAATATGAAATGTACACTATCGCTCAAAAGTTTTAGAACACTTACTCATTCAAGGGTTTTTCTTTATTTTTACAATTTTTTTACATTGTAGAATAATAGTGAAGACATCAAAACTATGAAATAACACATGGAATCATGTAGTAACCAAAAAAGTGTTAAATCAAAATATATTTGAGATTCTTGATGACAGCTTTGCACACTCTTGGCATTCTCTCAACCAGCTTCACCTGGAATGCTTTTCCAACAGTCTTGAAGGAGTTCCCATATATGCTGAGCACTTGTTGGCTGCTTTTCCTTCACTCTACGGCCCGGTCCGACTCATCCCAAACCATCTCAAATTGGTTGAGGTCGGGGGATTGTGGAGGCCAGGTCATCTGATGCAGCTCTCATTGGTAAAATAGCCCTTAGACAGCCTGGAGGTGTGTTGGGTCATAGCCCTTTTGAAAAACAAATGATAGTCCTACTAAGCCCAAACCAGATGGGATGGCGTATCGCTGCAGAATGCTGTGGTAGACATGCTGGTTAAGTGTGCCTTGAATTCTAAATAAATCACAGACAGTGTCACCAGCAAAGCACCATAACACCTCCTCCATGCTTCACGGTGGGAAATACACATGCAGAGATCATCCGTTCACCCACACCGCGTCTCACAAAGACCTGGCGGTTGGAACCAAAAATCTCCAATTTGAACTCCAGACAAAAGGACACATTTCCACCGGTCTAATGTCCATTGCTTGTGTTTCTTGGCCCAAGCATGTCTCTTTTTATTATTGGTGTCCTTTAGTAGTGGTTTCTTTGCAGCTATTCGACCATGAAGGCCTGATTCACACAGTCTCCTCTGAACAGTTGATGTTGAGATGTGTCTGTTACTTGAACTCTGTGAAGCATTTATTTGGGCTGCAATTTCTGAGTCTGGTAACTCTAATGAACTTATCCTCTTCAGCAGAGGTAACTCTGGGTCTCCCATTCCTGTGGCGGTCCTCATGAGAGCCAGTTTCATCGAGAGCCAGTTTCATCATAGCGCTTGATGGTTTTTGCGACTGCACTTGAAGAAACGTTCCATATTGACCTTCATGTCTTAAAAAGTAATGATGGACTGTCGTTTCTCTTTGCTTATTTGAGCTGTTCTTGCCATAATATGGACTTGGGTCTTTTACCAAATAGGGCTATCTTATGTATACCCCCCCCCCCCTACCTTGTCACAACACAACTTTTTGGCTCAAACGCATTAAGGAAAGAAATTCCACAAATTAACTTTTAACAAGGCACACCTGTTAATTGAAATGCATTCCAGGTGACTACCTCATGAAGCTGGTTGAGAGAATGCCAAGAGTGTGCAAAGCTGTCATCAAGGCAAAGGGTGGCTATGTGAACCTCAAATATAAAATATATTTTGATTTCTTTAACACTTTTTTGGTTACTACATGATTGCATATGTGTTATTTCATAGTTTTGATGTCTTCACTATTATTCTACAATGTAGAAAATAGTAAAAATAAAGAAAAACCCTTGAATGAGTAGGTGTTCTAAAACCTTTGACCGGTAGTGTACATTAATTTGATGAGGTGATCAACGTGTAAAATGTAAACCAAACAAATGCATGCTGGAAACCATGAATGAAGCTTACTTAGGCCGGGATTCAGTGAGATCGCGGGTTATAGGCGTTGAGGCTTTTAAAGACAATATCGAATTGAGCCAACATATGCAGCGTTTACCGTGAATGGGATCTCCGCAAACGTGGGAACATTGCCTTTAAAAGCCTGAATCCTCAGAATGAATCCTCGCCGTAGTTTCAAAAAGACAACCTCAAAACCCTTCGTCAACAGGGTCGAGGACAGACAAACTATGAATTCAGACCCAATAATTAGACGATATACACAGTGTACAAAACATTAAGGACACCTTCCTAATATTGAGTTGCACCCACCCTTTTGCACTCAGAACAGCCTCAATTCATCGGGCATGGACTCTACAAGGTGTCGAAAGTATTCCACAGGAATGCTGGCCCATGTTGACTCCAATGCTTCCCACAGTTGTCAAGTTAGCTGGATGTCCTTTGGGTGTTGGACCATTCTTGATGCAAACGGGAAACTGTTGAGCGTTAAAAACCCAGCAGCGTTGCAGTTCTTGACACAAACTGGTGCGCCTGGCACCTACTACCATACCCCGTTCAAAGGCACTTCAATCTTTTGTCTTGCCCATTCAACCTCTGAATGGCACACATACACAATCCATGTCTCAATTGTCTCAGGGCTTAAAAATCCTTATTTACCCTGTCTCCTCCCCTTCATCTACACTGATTGAAGTGGATTTAACAAGTGACAATAAAGGATCAAAGCTTTCACCTGGTCAGTCTATGTCATGGAAAGAGCAGGTGTCAATGTTTTGTACACTCAGTGTGCATTCAAATACACACAATGACCTACACCACAGTATCTTCAGTGGACACCTCCATGTCTTCCACAGTACCAATGTCCTCTGTTACACTGTGTTGTCCCTCAGTGGAGACTGTCTGTGTCTCAGTCTCCAGTTCTGATGTCTGCACTGTAACACACTCCTGCTCAGAGATAGGGGCACACTGCCTCCTCAGGATCCGCAATGGCTGTCATCTCTGAACCAGGCCCAGCTTCCGAATCTGAAGCCAGGATGGTTTGTGACACTGCAGTTTCCAGCACAGGTGGGGTCGAAATAGTGGAGGTCTCCGTAACGGAAACTGGGGCAAACATGGCGCCGGGGACAGAGAGACACGAGAGAGACACGGTCTGGATAGGGAGGGGACCGGAGGACGACGAGGAAACAGGGATGGAGTGAGACACCATGACAGGGATAGAGGACACGGAGAAGGGGACAGAGACAGTGGATCCATCCAGAGAGATGACACCGGCCCCGTCTGTATTGGCGATGGGAAGGTGGGTCCCTGCCGGAATCTCTGTCTGGATGACCGTAAACCCACCCAGGGTGGTGTGGCTGACCAGAGTGATGGTCCCTGGGTCGCCCCAGTTGGCTGAAAGGGTGATGGGCTCACCAGGTACCAACATGGCCCCCTCCTGGAGCCTACCTCCAGCTCCACTCTCCCCCTCCACCTCTCCAACCACTACATTCTCTACTTTAACCTTCCTACCAGGGCATCTGGGTTTCTTAGTCTTTACCTCCATGTTGTCCTTCAGGACCACCAGATAGTTCTTCCATGGAGTGTTTTGGTCGTGAGTCTGTGGATTGAAGAGCACGTCTTCAGGCTTTTGCAGCACAGATTAATGTCTCCAAAATAACTTATTACACTTATAATAATTCTACTTATTATGTTAGTATGAAAACTAGAAGGTGTAGTAACGTACCATGGTGTGTCTGTGTACGGTGGACAGGTGTAGTAACGTACCATGGTGTCTGTGTACGGTGGACTAGTGTAGTAACGTACCATTGTGTGTCTGCGTACAGTGGACTAGTGTAGTAACGTACCATTGTGTCTGTGTACGGTGGACTAGTGTAGTAACGTACCATTGTGTGTCTGCGTAAAGTGGACTAGTGTTGTAACGTACCATTGTGGACTAGTGTAGTAACGTACCATGGTGTCTGTGTACGGTGGACAAGTGTAGTAACGTACCATGGTGTCTGCGTACAGTGGACTAGTGTAGTAACGTACCATTGTGTCTGTGTACGGTGGACTAGTGTAGTAACGTACCATGGTGTCTGTGTACAGTAGACTAGTGTAGTAACGTACCATTGTGTGTCTGTGTACGGTGGTCAAGTGTAGTAACGTACCATTGTGTCTGTGTACGGTGGACTAGTGTAGTAACTTACCATTGTGTGTCTGAGTACAGTGGACTAGTGTAGCAACGTACCATTGTGTCTGTGTACGGTGGACTAGTGTAGTAACGTACCATGGTGTCTGTGTACGGTGGACTAGTGTAGTAACGTACCATTGTGTGTCTGTGTACGGTGGTCAAGTGTAGTAAACGTACCATTGTGTCTGTACGTGGACTGGGGTTAAAAATTCCCCTTTGGGGTTTCTGGTCAGGACTAGTGTAGAAACGTCCTTGGGTTCTGTGACGGGGGGACTAGTTAGTAATCCCAGGGTGTTTGTACGGGGGACGTGTAGTAACGTCCCCTTGTGTGTCTGCGCAGTGGACTAGTGAAGAAACGTACCATGGGGTGTCTTGTACGGGGGGACTAGTGTTAACGTACCTGGTGTTGGTACAGTAGCTATGTATAACGTCCCCCATGGTTGTCTGCGACGTGGACAGTGAAACGTACCAGGTGTCTGTGTACGGGGGACTATGTAGTAACGCCCCTGGTTTTCCCTTTTACATGGACTAGTGTTTTAAACGTACCATTGGTCGGTGCGTGGTCTGTATAACGTCAATTGTGTGTCTGCGTACAGTGGACTATGTAAAAACCGTACCATGGTGTTGTTACGGTGGAATGTAGAAGTCCCAGGTGTATTTTACGGGGACATCTAGAAACGTACCAGGTGTGCTTTTTACGGGGGACTATGAGAAAAGGCCCATGGTGTTGGTCGGTGGATGGGGTTTAGAAACGTCCCATTTGTCGGTAGGTGACTAGTCTATAAGTACCATGGTGTTTTTTACGGTGGACTATTTTAGTAACGTACCATGGGTATGGTACGGTGGACAGTGTATAAGTACCGGTTTAGTGTACAGTGATAGGGAACTACCGGTGTGTCGCGTACAGTGGCTAGTTAAAAATACCATGGTGCGTGTACGGGGATATGCAGAAACGGCCATGGGTTGCTTACGGGGGACAGTGATTAACGTACCATTGTGTCTGTGTACGGGGGACTTGAGACTCGACTGTGTTCTGCGTACAGGGGACTAGGGTAGAACGTACCTGATAACTACCATTTGTGGGTGTACGGGGGAAACAGTGTGTAACATCCCAGGGTCTGAGACGGGGGAAGTGTAGTAATGTACCATGGGTCTGTAAACGTGGACTATGTAGTCACCCCATTGGTGTCGTGTGGGGACTAGTGTAGTAACGACCAGGTGTCTGTGTAGGGTTGGACTGTGTAGTAACGAAACCATGGGGGTTGCGTACAGGGGACTAGTGTGAAACGTACCATTGGGTCTGCGTACGGGGACTACTAGTAACTCCTGGTGCGCGAGGGTAATATGTAGAACTACCAGGGTGTCTGTGTATGGGGGGCTATTTAAAACTACCGGGTGTCTTGTGGGTGGACAGTAAGTCGTACCATGTTGTCGTAACGGTGGACTAGTGAAAATAACGTACCTTTGGTGTCGGACAGTGAAAAGTGTAAAACGACCTGGTGTGTCTGGTACGGGACTAGTGTAGTAAGTTAGGGTGTTCTGCGTACAGGGGATAGGATAACGACCATTTGTCTGTGTAGGGGGACTATTTTAAAACTACCAGGGTGTTTTGGGACGGGGGACTAGTCTGTAACTGGTGGGGTTTGGTTTAGGGGGACTGTGTAGTAACTCCCCTGGGTCTGGAGGTGGACTAGTGAGAAAAGTACCATTGTCTGTGTACGGTGGACTAGCTAGAACGTACCAGGGTGTTTTTTTTTACGGTGGACTGTGTAGAAAAATACCAGGGTGTATGTGTACGGGACTAGTTTAACGTACCATTGGTATGGTACGTAACTATGTAGTAACGTCCATGGGGGGGTCTGCTACAGTGGATAGTTAGAAACGTACCAGGTTCTGTTAGGGTGGCTAGTGCTAACGTACCGGGTGTGTCTGTTTAAAGGGGACTGTGTATTAACGTACCATGTGTCTGGTCTGGACACTGTAAAAATACTTGGTGCTGGACATGGACTAGTGTAGAAAACTACCATGTTCGTTACTGGACAAGTATAACACCATTATGATGTGTACGGGGGACTATTTAGTAATTTACCAGGGGTGTGTCTGCTACAGGGACTAGTGTAGTATTCCATTGGTCTGGTGGGTGGACATTTGGAGTAAGTACCAGGGGTTTCTTAACGGGGACGGGAAAATGTACCTTGTGTGCGCGTACAGTAACTGTGTATAAACCATGGTGTCGTGTACGGTAGCTAGTGTAGTAACATACCATGGTGTTTTAAGGTGGACTGGTAGTATTTCCATGGTGTCTGTAAACGTGATAGTGTAGCCCTACCTGTTGTTGGTATGGTGGACTGTGTAGAAAACGTCCCAGGTGTCGTGTACGGTGGACTAGGGGGAAAACGTACCAGGGTTGTCTGTTTTACGGTAGACTATGTAAAACATACCATATGTCTGGTACGTGGACTATGTGAAACGTCCATGGGTCTGGTACATGATTTGTAAACTCCCCTTTGTGTCTGTTCGGTGGACTTGTAGAAACCTTACCTTGTGTTCTGCGTCAGTGGACTAGTGTGCAACGTCCCTTTTCGGGTTACGGGGGAAGTTAGTAACGACCATGGTTCTGTGACGGGGCTAGTGTAGTAACGTACCTTGTTTTCCCTGCGTACAGTGGACTGGAAGAAACGTACCAGGTGTCGTTACGGTGGACTATTGTAGAAACGTACCAGGGGTTTGTGTACGGTGGCCCTATTGTAGAAACGGGAAACCATGGGTGTCTGGTACAGTGATAGTGTTAAAAGTCCATGGTGGTTGCGTACAGGGCTAGTGTAGTAACGTCCCATTGTCTTGTGGGTGGCTATGTAGTAACTCCCATGGTGGTCTGCTTCAGTGGACATGTTTAGTACCTTTGTGTCTGTTGGGGTTTGACAAACGTAGAAACTTACAATTTTTTGGTCCTGCTACAGGGGGACTTGAGTAACCCCTGGGGTCTGTTTACGGTGGACTATTGTAAAACGTACCATGGTGTTTTTAAACGTGGACTGTCTATCGTACATGGTGTGTCGTTTAGGTGGAAGTTAGTACGCCATGGGGTTGTTAGGGTGGACTAGTGTAGTAACGTCCATTGTGTTGTGTCGTGGATGTTAGTAACTACCAGGTGTGTCTGTTTTTCCCCGGGGGCTAGTGGTGGGAACTACCAGGGTTTTATTGTTACGTGGACTATGTAAAAAGTCCCTTGTTTTGTACGTGACTATGTTAATTCCGGGTGGTTTTGCGTACAGGACTGTGTATAAACGACCATTTTGTCTTGTGGGTGGACTTCATTTAACTACCAGGGGTTCTGTTACGGGATGTGTATTAAGGACCATTGTTTGTTACGGTGGACTATTAAAAGTACGGTGTGTCTGCGTACAGGGGGACATGTAGAAACTACCTTTGTGTTGTGTACGGGGGATGTTTATAATCCATGGTTCTGGTACGGGGGAGGGTTTAGAATTACCATGGTGCTGTAAACGGTGGACTATTAATAAGTACCCTTTGGTGGTTGGAAAGTAACTAGTTGAAACACCTGGTGTTTTTATTTTTACTATGTAAATTTCCCATGTGTGCTCTACGGGGCTAGTGTAGTAACGACCTTTTGTGTCGTGTACGGTGGACTAGTTAGAAACTACCAGGGTTTCTGTGACGGTGGACTAGTGTAGAAAGTCCGGGTGTTTTAAAACGGTGGACTAGGAAATAATTTACCTTTGTGTAGGTAAAGGGAACAGTGTAGTAACGTCCCATGGTGTCGTGTAGGGTAACTAGTGTAAAAATACCATGGGTCGGGAAACGGGGATATGGTAAGTACCTTTGTGTTGAAAAACGTGGACTATTGTACTCCCATTTGTGTCGGGTTTTGGTGACATGTAGAAACTCCATGGTGTCGTGAGGGGGACTATGTGAAACACCTGGTTCTGGTACGTGGACTAGTTATAACTACCATGTTGTCTGAAACGGGGGGACAGTAAACGTACCATTTTGTCTCTACGGTGAAATGTAGTAACGTACCATGGTGTGTTGGTAGGTGGACGTTAGTACGACCAGGGTGTCTGGTACGGTGGCTAGTTAGAACCCCCATTTGTCTGAAAACGGTGATGGTTAAACTACCTTTGTTTTTTTACTGAAATATGAAAACGCCTTTGGTGTGTCCGTAATGGACTAGTAGAAAACGTAATGGTGTTCGGTACGGGGGACTAGTGTATAAGTCCCTTTGTGTTGGTACGGTGGACTGTTAGTAACGTCCAGGGTGTTTTTACGGGACTATTTAGTAACTTACTTTGGTTCTGGTACGGGGCTATGTGTAACGTACCATTTGTCTGTTTTCGGTGGACTTGGAAACGTACCAGGGGTGTTGTGTCGGTGGGACTAGTTAGAAACGTACCATGGTGTGTCGGGTTTCGGTGGACTAGTGTGAAACGTACCATGGTGTCTGTGACGGTGGACTAGTGTAAAAACGTACCATGGGGGTCCCGGGGGTTACGGTGGACTAGTAGAAACTCCCCATGGTTTTTGGTAAGTAAAACTATGTAGTAACGTACCATGGGTGTCCGTACTTGGACTATTGTAGAAAACTCCATGGTGTTGTGTACGGGGGGACTATTAGTAACGTACCTGGTGTGTCTGTTACGGGGACTAGTGTATAACGTACTTTGTTCGGGTACGGTGGACTATTAGTACGTACTTGTGTGGTTTGGTACGGGGACTAGTTAGAACGTCCCAGGGTGTCTTTTTACGGGGACTAGTTAGAAACTACCTTTGTGTATGTTACGGTGGCTTTAGTAACGTACCATTGTTTTGTTACGTGACTATGTGAAACTCCATGGGTGTTTTTGGTACGGGACAGTGGGAACGTACCTTTGTCTGTTACGTGCTGTCAGAAAACGTCCATGGTGGGTCTGTTTTACGGTGGATAGTGTATAACATCCCAGGGGTTGTGTAGGGTTTGGACTATGTAAACTCCCATTTTGTTGTTTACAGTGCTAGTGTAGAAAAGTACCATGGTTGTCCTGGGTCGTGGACAGTTAAATCCCTGGGGTTCTGGTACTGGACTAGTGATAACGTACCGGTGTTCTGTTTACGTGGACTGGGTATTAACGTCCATTGTGTCTGTGTAGGTGGACTTGTAGAAACGTGATTGTGGTGGCCCCGTACGGGGGACTAGTGTGTAACGGGCCATTGTAGTAACTCCCATTTTTATGTGTACGGGGGACTAGGGAAATTTCCATTGTGTGTCTGCGAAAGTGGATAGTGTAAAACGTACCATTGTGTCTGTTACGGGGGATAGTTTTAAACGCCCAGGTTTGTTACGGTGGACTGGTGTAGTAAGCCAGGGTGTCTTAACGTGGATAGTGTAAAATGTCCATTTTGCGCTACAGTGAACTAGTGAGAATACCATGGTTTTACGGTGGACTAGTGTAGTTTACCCCTTTGGGCTGTACGGGGGATTGTAGTAGTACCTTTGTTCGGGGAAAGGTGGACTATTTGTACGTCCAGGTGTCTTGTAGGGGGACATGTAGTAACGTACGGGGTTTCTTTTAACGGGGGATAGGAAATAAGCCCTTTGTGTAGCGTACTGAACTAGTGTGTAACTCCCATGGTTTGGTACGGATTGTATAACTACCGGTTCTGGACGGTGGACTAGTTATAAATTCCCATGGTGTCTGTAAATGGGGACAGTGTAGTCCTCCCTTTGGTGTTTTTAAAGGTTTGTAGTTATAAGTCCCATGTGTCGTGACGGGGGGAAGTGTAGAAACCGTACCATGGGTCGCGTACGGGGAAAGGTATAACTTACCATTGGTGTCTGCGTACTTGGCCTATGTAAAAACTCCCAGGTGCTGCGTACGGTAACTAGTGAGTAACGTACCATGGGGGTCTTTTAGTGGACATTAGAAAATACCATGGTTTGTGTACGGGGGCAAAATTAGAACGTCCCAGTTGGTTGTACGTTGGACTAGGAAAAACGTACCTTTGTGTGTCGGTACAGTAAATAGTGAGTAACGTACTGGTGTTCCTGCGTAAGGGGGACTAGTGTAGAAGACAGGTGTTTGGGTACGGGGAAATTTTTAAAACGTACCTTGGTTGTTACGTGGACTAGTGTGAAGTACCGGTGTTGGGTTACGGGACTTAGAAACCGACCAGGGTGTGTTTTCGGGGACTAGTGAAAAAGACCATGGTGTTTGTAGGTGGACAGTGTATAACGTACCATTGTGTTTGAAGGGTGGACTATTAAACGTCCCATGTGTGTTTTTTTTTTCGGGGGGACAGTGTAGTACTCCCCATGGTGACGGTGGACAGTGTAGAACCCCATTTTAGTTCGTGACTGTGTAGTAAACCATGGTGTGTCTGCGTACAGGGGACTAGTGTAGTAACTACCATGGGTCTGTGTATTTTGGACTATGGTAAACGCCATGGTGTCGACGGGGACTAGTGTATTAAGTACCTTTGTTTCTGGTACGGTGGACTATGTATACGACATGGGTCTGGACGTGACTAGTGTAGAAACTCCTTTGTGTTGTGCGTGGACAAGGGTAGAAAGTACCTTTGTGTGTTAGTGACTAGTGTAGTCATTACCATTGTGTGTCGGAAAGGTGGACTATGTAGAAACGCCCTTTGTGTCGTGTACGGTGGAACTGTGTATAACTACCATGGTGTTGTAACGGTTGAACTAGTGAAAATAGTACCATGTGTGCTGCGTAAGGAATTAGGAGTAACTACCATGGGCGTGACGGTAGATAGTAGTAACATACCATGGTTTTCTTGTTACGGTGGAACAGTGTAGTAGTAACCCATGGTGTCGGTAAAGTGGAAGGTAGTACGTACCGTGGTGTCTGTGTAGGGTGGACTAGTGTGGGTAACGTACCATGGGTCTGTGGTACTGGACTAGGGGTAGTAACTACCATGGTGTCTGTACAGGTGGCTAGTAAACCCATTGTTGTGCGTACAGTGACTCAGTGGTCCATAACTACCATGGTGTCTGGTACGTAAGCCTAGTGTAGTAACAGCACCAGTGTCTGGGTACGGTGACTATTTGTAAGTAACTCATGGTTCGTGTACGGGGATATGTGTAAGACACTTGTTGTCTGTGTACGGGGACTAGTGTAGAAACGTACACTTGTGTGTCTTGTACGGTTGGGACTAGTGTAAAGTAGAATACAGGTTGTGTCTGCGTACATGACTAGTGTAGTGAACGTACCTGGTGTCTGTGTACGTGGACTAGTGTAGTAACGTACCATGGTGTTCCCGGTACTGTGGACTAGTGATAGACGTACCATTGTGGTGTCTGCGTACATTGGACTAGTGAAGTAACGTACCATGGTGGTCTGTGTACGGTGGACTATGTAGTAACGTACCATGGGGGTCTGCGTACAGTGGACTAGTGAAGTAACGTACCATGGGTCTGTGTACGTGACTAGTGTAGTAACGTACCATGGTGTTTTCCTGCGTACAGTGGACGAGTGTAGTAACGTACCATTGTTGTCTGCGTACGTGACTATGAGTAACGTACCATGGTGTCTGTGTACGGTGGACTAGTGTAGTAACGTACCATGGGGTGTCTGTGTACGGTGGACTAGTGAAGTAACGTACCATGGTGTCTGTGTACAGTAGACTAGTGTAGTAACGTACCATGGTGTGTCTGCGTACAGTGGACTAGTGTAGTAACGTACCATGGTGTCTGTGTACGGTGGACTAGTGTAGTAACGTACCATGGTGTCTGCGTACAGTGGACGAGTGTAGTAACGTACCATTGTGTGTCTGCGTACAGTGGACTAGTGTAGTAATGTACCATTGTGTCTGTGTACGGTGGACTAGTGTAGTAACGTACCATGGTGTCTGCGTACAGTGGACTAGTGTAGTAACGTACCATTGTGTGTCTGCGTACAGTGGACTAGTGTAGTATCGTACCATGGTGTCTGTGTACGGTGGACTAGTGTAGTAACGTACCATTGTATCTGTGTACGGTGGACTAGTGTAGTAACGTACCATGGTGTCTGTGTACGGTGGACTAGAGTAGTAACGTACCATTGTGTCTGTGTACGGTGGACTAGTGTAGTAACGTACCATTGTGTGTCTGTGTATGGTGGACTAGTGTAGTAACGTACCATGGTGTCTGCGTACGGTGGACTAGTGTAGTAACGTACCATGGTGTCTGTGTACGGTGGACTAGTGTAGTAACGTCCCATTGTGTGTCTGCGTACAGTGGACTAGTGTAGTAACGTACCATGGTGTCTGTGTACGGTGGACTAGTGTAGTAACGTACCATTGTGTCTGTGTACGGTGGACTAGTGTAGTAACGTACCATTGTGTGTCAGTGTACGGTGGACTAGTGTAGTAACGTACCATGGTGTCTGTGTACGGTGGACTAGTGTAGTAACGTACCATGGTGTCTGTAACGGTGGACTAGTGTAATAACGTACCATTGTGTGTCTGCGTACAGTGAACTAGTGTAGTAACATACCATGGTGTCTGTGTACGGTAGACTAGTGTAGTAACATACCATAGTGTCTGTGTACGGTGGACTAGTGTAGTAACGTACCATGGTGTCTGTGTACAGTGGACTAGTGTAGTAACGTACCATTGTGTCTGTGTACGGTGGACTAGTGTAGTAACGTACCATGGTGTCTGTGTACGGTGGACTAGTGTAGTAACGTACCATGGTGTCTGTGTACGGTGGAACTGTGTATAACGTACCATGGTGTCTGTGTACGGTGGACTAGTGTAGTAACGTACCATTGTGTGTCTGCGTACAGTGGACTAGTGTAAGTAACGTACCATGGTGTCTGTGTACGGTGGACTAGTGTAGTAACGTACCATGGGGTGTCTGTGTACGGTGGACTAGTGTAGTAACGTACCATGGTGTCTGTGTACAGTAGACTAGTGTAGTAACGTACCATGGTGTGTCTGCGTACAGTGGACTAGTGTAGTAACGTACCATGTGTCTGTGTACGGTGGACTAGTGTAGTAACGTACCATGGTGTGTCTGCTTACAGTGGACTAGTGTATTAACGTACCATTGTGTCTGTGTACGGTGGACTACTGTAGTAACGTACAATTGTGTGTCTGCGTACAGTGGACTAGTGTAGTAACGTACCATGGTGTGTCTGTTTACGGTGGACTAGTGTAGTAACGTACCATGGTGTATGTGTACGGTGGACTAGTCTAGTAACGTACCATGGTGTGTCTGTTTACGGTGGACTAGTGTAGTAACGTACCATGGTGTCTGTGTACGGTGGACTAGTGTAGTAACGTACCATTGTGTCTGTGTACGGTGGACTAGTCTAGTAACGTACCATGGTGTGTCTGTTTACGGTGGACTAGTGTAGTAACATACCATGGTGTATGTGTACGGTGGACTAGTGTAGTAACGTACCATTGTGTATGTGTACAGTAGACTAGTGTAGTAACGTACCATGGTGTGTCTGCGTACAGTGGACTAGTGTAGTAACGTACCATGGTGTCTGTGTACGGTGGACTAGTGCAGTAACGTACCATGGTGTGTCTGCTTACAGTGGACTAGTGTATTAACGTACCATTGTGTCTGTGTACGGTGGACTACTGTAGTAACGTACGATTGTGTGTCTGCGTACAGTGGACTAGTGTAGTAACGTACCATTGTAGTAACGTACCATTATGTATGTGTACGGTGGACTAGTGTAGTAATTTACCATTGTGTGTCTGCGTACAGTGGACTAGTGTAGTAACGTACCATTGTGTCTGTGTACGGTGGACTAGTATAGTAACGTACCATGGTGTCTGTGTACGGTGGACTAGTGTAGTAATGTACCATGGTGTCTGTAACGGTGGACTAGTGTAATAATGTACCATTGTGTGTCTGCGTACAGTGAACTAGTGTAGTAACGTACCATGGTGTATGTGTACGGTGGACTAGTGTAGTAATTTACCATTGTGTGTCTGCGTACAGTGGACTAGTGTAGTAACGTACCATTGTGTCTGTGTACGGTGGACTAGTATAGTAACGTACCATGGTGTCTGTGTACGGTGGACTAGTGTAGTAACGTACCATGGTGTCTGTAACGGTGGACTAGTGTAATAATGTACCATTGTGTGACTGCGTACAGTGAACTAGTGTAGTAACGTACCATGGTGTCTGTGTACGGTAGACTAGTGTAGTAACATACCATGGTGTCTGTAGACGGTGGACTAGTGTAGTAATGTACCATGGTGTCTGTAAACTGTGGACTAGTGTAGTCACGTACCATTGTGTGTCTGTGTATGGTGGACTAGTGTAGTAACGTACCATGGTGTCTGTGTACGGTGGACTAGTGTAGTAACGTACCATGGTGTCTGTAACGGTGGACTAGTGTAATAACGTACCATTGTGTGTCTGCGTACAGTGAACTAGTGTAGTAACATACCATGGTGTCTGTGTACGGTAGACTAGTGTAGTAACATACCATGGTGTCTGTGTACGGTGGACTAGTGTAGTAACGTACCATGGTGTCTGTGTACAGTGGATTAGTGTAGTAACGTACCATTGTGTGTCTGTGTACGGTGGACTAGTGTAGTAACGTACCATTGTGTGTCTGTGTACGGTGGACTAGTGTAGTAACATACCATTGTGTCTGCGTACAGTGGACTAGTGTTGTAACGTACCATTGTGTCTGTGTACGGTGGACTAGTGTAGTAACGTACCATGGTGTCTGCGTACAGTGGACTAGTGTAGTAACGTACCATTGTGTGTCTGCGTACAGTGGACTAGTGAAGTAACGTACCATGGTGTCTGTATACGGTGGACTAGTGTAGTAACGTACCATGGGGTGTCTGTGTACGGTGGACTAGTGAAGTAACGTACCATGGTGTCTGTGTACAGTAGACTAGTGTAGTAACGTACCATGGTGTGTCTGCGTACAGTGGACTAGTGTAGTAACGTACCATGGTGTCTGTATACGGTGGACGAGTGTAGTAACGTACCATTGTGTGTCTGCGTACAGTGGACTAGTGTAGTAATGTACCATTGTGTCTGTGTACGGTGGACTAGTGTAGTAACGTACCATGGTGTCTGCGTACAGTGGACTAGTGTAGTAACGTACCATTGTGTGTCTGCGTACAGTGGACTACTGTAGTAACGTACCATGGTGTCTGGTCGTAAGGGGTGTTTAAAGTCCAGTGGTTGTTTTGGTGGTGGTTAGTAAGTACCGGTGTCGGGGAGGGGTGGCATTTAATAACGTACCTTTTGTCTGACGGGGGAAGTGAAATAACCCCCCAGGGTGTCTGCGTACAGGAAAAGTTAGTAACGTCCCATGGTGTGTCGCTACATGGACTAGGTAAACGACTTGTGCTGGTAGGGACAGTGGGAGAACCATGGGGTTGTGACGGGGACAAATGTGGTCGACCATGGTGGTAGGGTGTACTTTGAAACCCCCTGGGTTTAAGGGGTACAAATGGGGTGTGTCTGTTTACGGGGACTTGTAGAACGTACCTGGTGTCTGTGTACGGGGAAACTAGTGTAGTACGTCCATTGTGTCTGTGAAGGGTTTGGGACATTATAAGACCATGGGGGTTTCTTTTTTAGGTGGACAGGGTTTTAACGTCCATGTGTTGGACGGGGGATAGTGTAGTAACGTACCTTTGTGTTTTTTAAATGATAGTGTTAACGTCCTTGTGCCCCTGGTACGGGACTATGTGTGAATGGGCGGTGGGGGGACTTTGTGCGGCCGGGTTTTCGTTAAAAGGGGATGGTTTAACGACCATTTTTTCGGTGGGTGGACTAGTAGAAACAAAATGGTGTTGGTACGGGGACTGGTGTACGTACCTTTGTGGTTGGGGGGAAAGGTTTTGGGCCCATTAGTAGTCCGGGGGCTGTGTAGTTTCCCATTTTTTGTTGGCCCCGTGTAGTGTGGAACGTACCATTGTGTCCGGTACGGTGGAACCCCGGGTGAAAACCATGGTTTGGTGGGGACTAGTGAAATAATCCCATTGTGGGGGTACAGTAACTTGTAAAGAAACTTTCCAGGTGCTGTTAGGGTGGGCTGGGTGTAGTCAAAACCAGGGTTTTTGTCTGTAACGGGGGGACTATTGTATAGTACCATGGGCCCTGTAAAGGGGACTAGTAGTACCCCATGTGTGTCGGAAAGGGGAAAAAACAAAATGAAATACGTCCCATTTTTGTGTACGGTGGACATGTGTAATACCATGGGTCTTTCTGACGGTGGCTTGTAATAACTACCATTTGGTTGGCGGAACTAGTTATACATCCCATGGTGTCTGTGTCGGGGACTGTGTAGAAAAAAACCCAAAAAGGGGGGTTGTTGGGGGTTTGTTTTAACTACCATTTTTGTCTGTGTACGTGGATAGTTAGAAATTTCCCCTTTGGGGTTGTCGGTAGGGGTGGCAGTGTAGAACGTACCTTTGGGGTCTGTGTAGGGTGGACTAGTTAGTAACTACCTTTGTGTCTGGCGTGGACGTGTAGTACGTACCTTTGTGTCGTGACGGGGGTAGTTGTGTCGTACAATGTGTTCGTACAGGGGGGTTTGTGTAAAAAAGTCCCCCTTGGTGTCGGACGTGGATAGTAAAAGTACCATGGTGCCCTGTTCTTTGGACTAGTTGTCGTACCATGGTGTCTGTGTAGGGGATTTTGGGGTAACGACCAGGGTGTCTGTTACTTTGATGTTGTAAGTAATTTTGGTTTTGCGTACATGGACTATGTAAACGTACCATTGTGTGTCGCGACAGGGGGCTTGAAGTAACGTCCCATGGTGTCGGGTACTGGCAGTGTGAAAATTTCTGGGGGGCGGGTGACGGGGGGTTTAAAAAAGTAACTAAGGGGTTCGTGAAAGGGGAACTATTTGTAAAAAACGTACCATGGTGGTCGCGTACAGTATAGTGTAGTACGTACCATTGTGTCTGGTACGGGGACTATGTAAACTCCCTTTTGTGGGGTCTGGTTGGGGGAACTGTGTGTAACGTCCCATTTGCTGGTGTAGGGGGGGACTATTTAGTAATACCATTGTGTCGGGTTTACGGTGGACAGTGTATACGTACCTTTGTGTCTTTTGTAGGTGGTGTGAAAACTACCTGGTTTGGGGGAAAAAGTTTTGTAGCCCCCAAAATGGGGGCTTTTCCCCTAAAAAGTGAGGGGCCGGTAATTTTCATCATAGGTACACTCAACTATGACAGACAAAATGAGGAAAGAAAATCACATTGTAGGATTTTTTATGAATTTATTTTGCAAATTATGGTGGAAAATAAGTATTTGGTCAATAACAAAAGTTTCTCAATACTTTGTTATATACCCTTTGTTGGCAATGACACAGGTCAAACGTTTTCTGTAAGTCTTCACAAGGTTTTCACACACTGTTGCTGGTATTTTGTCCCATTCCTCCATGCAGATCTCCTTCTAGAGCAGTGATGTTTTGGGGCTGTCGCTGGGCAACACGGACTTTCAACTCCCTCCAAAGATTTTCTATGGGGTTGAAATCTGGAGACTGGCTAGGCCACTCCAGGACCTTGAAATGATTCTTACGAAGCCACTCCTTCGTTGCCCGGGCGGTGTGTTTGGGATCATTGTCATGCTGAAGACCCAGCCACGTTTCATCTTCAATGCCCTTGCTGTGGAAGGAGGTTTTCACTCAAAATCTCACGATACATGCCCCATTCATTCTTTCCTTTACACGGATCAGTCGTCCTGGTCCCTTTGCAGAAAAACAGCCCCAAAGCATGATGTTTCCACCCCCATGCTTCACAATAGGTATGGTGTTCTTTGGATGCAACTCAGCATTCTTTGTCCTCCAAACACGACGAGTTGAGTTTTTACCAAAAAGTTCTATTTTGGTTTCATCTGACATTCTCCTAATCCTCTTCTGATCATCCAAATGCACTCTAGCAAACTTCAGATGGGCCTGGACATGTACTGGCTTAAGCAGGGGGACACGTCTGCACTGCAGGATTTGAGTCCCCTGGCGGCGTAGTGTGTTACTGATGGTAGGCTTTGTTACTTTGTCCCAGCTCTCTGCAGGTCATTCACTAGGTCCCCCCGTGGGTTCTGGGATTTTTGCTCACCGTTCTTGTGATCATTTTGACCCCACGGGGTGAGATCTTGCGTGGAGCCCCAGATCGAGGGAGATTATCAGTGGTCTTGTATGTCTTCCATTTCCTAATAATTGCTCCCAAGTTGATTTTCTTCAAACCAAGCTGCTTACCTATTGCAGATTCAGTCTTCCCAGCCTGGTGCAGGTCTACAATTTTGTTTCTGGTGTCCTTTGACAGCTCTTTGGTCTTGGCCATAGTGGAGTTTGGAGTGTGACTGTTTGAGGTTGTGGACAGGTGTCTTTTATACTGATAACAAGTTCAAACAGGTGCCATTAATACAGGTAACGAGTGGAGGACAGAGGAGCCTCTTAAAGAAGAAGTTACAGGTCTGTGAGAGCCAGAAATCTTGCTTGTTTGTAGGTGACCAAATACTTATTTTCTACCATAATTTGCAAATAAATTCATTAAAAATCCTACAATGTGATTTTCTGGATTTTTTTTGTCAATTTGTCTGTCATAGTTGACGTGTACCTATGATGAAAATTACAGGCCTCTCTCATCTTTTTAAGTGGGAGAACTTGCACAATTGGTGGCTGACTAAATACTTTTTTCCCCCACTGTATCTGTGTACGGTGGACTAGTGTAGTAACATACCATGGTGTGTCTGCGTACAGTGGACTAGTGTAGTAACGTACCATTGTGTGTCTGCGTACAGTGGACTAGTGTAGTAACGTACCATTGTGTGTCTGCGTACAGTGGACTTGTCCGTGAAAGTACGGTTGCAGAGGCCACACATGTAAGGCTTCTCCCCTGTATGAATCCTCTGGTGCCTCTGGAGGGCATTCAGCTGGGTGAACTGCTTATCACAATCTGTACAGTGGTATGGACGCTCACCTGAGACAGAACATACAGATGTCAGACAGGGGTTAAAGGTCAAGGGTCAGCAGTAATAATTCCCTATGAATGGAAGATACCAAACTAACAACGGTAGTAGCAGTGTGACTTGTGATTACTTACCCTAACATTCTACGCATTTAGCATGAAAATAAAAGGGATAAATATTAGGTTCAATATTGCAGTGGTTACCTGTGTGTATCTTCATATGCTGGTGGAGGGAGTTTCTTTGGGCGAAGGCCCGACCACAGAGTTCACACTTGTAAGGCCTGGAGCCCGTGTGGATTCTGGAGTGGTGTTTCAGGTATTCTTTAGAGGCAAAGCTTTTCCCACAGCTCTCACACATAAAAGGCTTCTCTCCTAGAACACAAAACAACACAGATATGTTAAGTCTGGTTTATGTAGATAGGGTTCACAGATACTGACGCTGAAATGGACACAGAAATGGTATCAAAAGCCCAACCTATCCGCTTAGAAAGTTGTAGAGTACAGTGTCTCCGTGTAAGAGGTGAACGTCTTACCTGTGTGGGCCCTCTTGTGATAGGACAACATGTGGTTCTGGCTGAACCTTGCATCACACTGGTCACAGGCGAAAGGCTTCTCTCCTGTGTGAGTCCTGCGGTGTGTCTTGAGGGCTGAGCTCTGGGAGAACTTGGCTTCACAGTCAGTGCAGGAGTAGGGCTTGTCTCCTGTGTGTGTTCTCTCGTGTAGCGTCAACGCTGTCTTAGAGCTCAGCGCCTTGTTACACACAAGACAGGTGTGCCGCTCACCACCTCCCTCATGCACCTAGCGGTAGACAAGAGTAGATATTTATTGTCTCAATAAATTATTAGTCTTGTAGCAAATAGAAATTGAAGAGGAAATGCCATTTTCATATACTGTAGTGCACTTCATTTGACCAGAGCCACATGGGTTAGCCATCTACAGCTCTGGTCAAAAGAAGAGCACTACAAGGGGAACAGGGTGTCAATCGAGAGAATCCTACATAAAAGTGCTACAAAAGCAGTCCCAAATCCCCTGACTGAGACCGGTCCTAACCTGTCGTCGGTGGCGCATCACGTCCTTCTTGCGTTTGAACGTCTTGGTGCAGACGTCGCAGGGGAACAGTCTCTCGTCACTGTGGACGTGTCTCTGATGGATCTTCAGGTTACAACGGTTGGCAAAAGTCTGCTGGCAGGTGTCACAACGGTACGTCACCTCCCCCTGCACACCGTGGCTCGTCCTGGTGGTCATGGTAACAATGGAGGAGTGTTGTTATTACAGATGTGATCAGAACAACAATGAAAATAGTTGAGATTTTAGGTTTTCTATCCCTTTTAAAAGTGCTCAAAGCACTTTACATTGTACAGTACATTGGGCTCCCCTCATTTGCAAACCTACCAATCCATCCAACGAATGTGTAACTAACGTGTAATGTCCAACTCATTTTACATTTTTACATTTTTGTCATTTAGCAGACGCTCTTATCCAGAGCGACTTACAGTTAGTGAGTGCATACATTTTTCATACTGGCCCCCCGTGGGAATTGAACCCACAACCCTGCCGTTGCAAGCGCCATGCTCTACCAACTGAGCTACAGGAGGCCTACTTGATGTGCTTCAGGTAGCTCTTCTCATAGTGGAAGGTCCGTTGACACTTGTCACACTTGTATTGGGTGTCACGTCTGGATGATCTGTTGGGGGCACCTTCCTCAACCATCTCTTCCTTGCTGGGGAAGAAGAGTGAGTCATCAGGACAATCCTCGGGTATATCTCCTTCCTCATCATCGACGTCTGTTGACTCCAGCCCTGCCCCCTCTTTTTCAGGCAGCAGCTCTGGAAGGGCCTCTCCTGCCTCCTTCTGTGTCATAACAATAATCATCACAATCAATTGGATTTATACAGCACTTTTTTCTAGATGTTCAAAATGCTTCACACACCTCAAACCATAGCATCTACCTGTGTATTCTCAGTTTTCTCCTCTTGATTGGTTGTCTTGGTCTGAGTGTTGTCAGGCAGATCCTCCGTCTGCGTCTTTGTCTGGTCCTTCATCTTCCTCACGTACTTCTTCCTAGGAATGTCAACGAAGACTCTGCGGCCTGCCAGCCTGTTACTTCTCCTCCCAGAGATCTCAGCATCTTCATTCACCTCTGATCTCTCCTCCTTGGCTGTGACCGTGACCTTTGCCCTTTTCAACGTCCTCTCCCTCCTCTCTGGTCTTGTTGGATAGGTCAGCCTCTTGGTGGAGGCTCTTTTGGGAATTTTGTTTATTCCGATCCCCAGCAACCCCTCCTCCTCCTCCTCTACATCATCCAAATCAGCCTCCATGTCTTGTGACATGGACGATTCAGCCCCGTGTGGACTCGAGCTGCCTTCATCGAGAACCGAGCTGCAAGCCTCGATAAGGCTCTTACACTCCAACAGTATCGCCACTTCACGGATCACACCAATCTTGTCTTTAGCAAACTCTTTATCCACCTCCAGTTTGCCAGTGTATACATATTCCAAGAACCTGGTGAAATCAGTGTTTCGGACGTTCCCCAGGAATATTTTCTTGGGTGGGTCCGGGGCCAGTAGGATGTTCTTGAAGTAGCCGCTGGAGGCAGCTAGTACCAACCGGTGAGCCTCAAACTCCTCCAGCTCACCATGGAAGGCCACCTGGACTGTGACATCACACAGGTGGCTGTGCAGTCTCAGCTGGTGCATTGACTGAAGCATGTCCTCATGGTGGGAGGCTGAGGAGTGCTGGACTACTTGGTCACTCATGTTTCATACTGTCAGTAGTGGAAAAAGTACCCAATTTTCATACTTGAGTAAAGGTAAAGATACCCTAGTAGAAAATGACTCAAGTAAAAGTGAATGTCACGCAGTAAAATACTACTTCAGTAAAAGTCAAAAAGTGTTTGGTTTTAAATATACTTAAGTATCAAAAGTAAATGTAATCGCGAAAATATACTTTAGTATCAAAAGTAAAAGTATAAATCATTTCAAATTGCTCATATTAAGCAAACCAGCCTGGACAATTTTCATGGTTTTTAAATTTACGGATAGCCAGGGGCACACTCCAACACTCAGACATAATTTACAAAGAACCATGTGTGTTTAGTGAGTCCGCCAGATCAGAGGCAGTAGGGATGACCAGGGATTTTCTCTGGACCATTTTCCAGTCCTGCTAAGCATTCAAAATATAACTAGTACTTTTTGGTGTCAGGGAAAAATATTGGAGTAAAAAGTTCATTATTTTCTTTAGGAATGTAGTGAAGTAAAAGTAGTCAAAAATATAAATAGTAAAGTAAGGTTCAGACACCCCAACAAACGACTTATGTAGTACTTTAAAGTATTTTTACTTAAGTACTTTACACCACTGCATACTGTTGATAGACAAATGTTACAAAAACTTTTTTTTATTTTTATAGTGACCATCGTATAACTTCTCAATAAGTGTGACTATATGACGTATAGCTAGCTGACTTGATATTCACATAGCTAGTTAGCTAGCGAACTATAATGGTTTAGGCCTATGCTTTGGGTTATCTAGCTAGTTAACCATAGTTAGGTGGCTGGTTAACTAGCTAGCTAGACGGTTGGAAAAGGCAACGTTAGGTGAGATCAGAAACGAGTTTGTCTCAATCAGCTGCTTATTGTTTTCACTGGCCAGCCGTCAAAATAGTGTACGCAGAGAAATGTCACATACTTGTAGCTAGCTAGTTCATTTGCTAGCAGACAAGCGAGTTAGCAGCTAGCTAGCTAGACAAAAGCCACGCCAACAATCTAACTAGTAAAAGACAGAAAAACGATTGATGGTTGTTTTTCCTTAAAACACTTTCTCTTGCAGTTTTTCAATGTTATGATCAGCAAGCAACAGTGAAATATATGCAATGAACGTGTACGCATGTCAACCAGGTCTCTTACCGTAAACTCGGTAAAATGGCAGCCCTTCACAAATCCATCATAACGAAAGTATTTTCTGTCAAATCTGCACCCGATATCGAGATGCGTTTTAACCGCGGCCATATTGGATAGATTCGGTCCGCTTCAGCTGATGTGTGATCAGTTCTTTGTACCTGTATAACATTTTCACCAGTGAACAAAACGACCCTGGATCAGTTCTTGGTATCATTGAAAAATGTATATAAATTAACAAACATCAACATGACATAAATAATTATTAGGCTATAATACAGACCAGGGTGTCTCAATATCTTTTCAAATGTAAGACATTTTATTCCTCATTGTGCAGAAGAAAAACAAAAACATTGAGAAACATGTCTATTGCATTGCCAGCCTTGAATTCAGAGATTACGTTCCTTTTTTTAAATCAGTATCCACGTGGTGGTGCCATTTATTTCAATATTGTGCCATCAGACCTGAAGCCCTAGCCTTGCCTCTGCAGAGACTATAGGCCTGTAAGGCAGCTCTCAGATAACTAAACACTGTAGTTATAATTTTTAGTTTTCTTCAGTCTGGACCTTGATTATTTTAATCATGGGTGTTAGTGCTGCGCTGGAACAAAAGCCATCACACCCAGGACTTGAAGTTGGAGATCCCTGATATTCGCATTTATGAATTTCTTGTCAAAGTTAGACATTTTGACTGAGGGAGCAATAAAACAGAAGCCTTTATAGTTGATTACACTTGAACCCCATCCACCACACAAATCAGCCCCACGTTTTCCAGAATGTAGCCTGTCATTCCAAGGCTGTATGCTAAGCTACTTTAGGGGGAATCACTGGGGACCTGTGCAGCTGCCAGTGGTTTTTTATTGATAGAGGAAATCCATATACCTTACATTTCCCATAATGACTTCTGCAAGCATTCGGTCTCTTCCGGTGGTGGTGAGTCATCCTGCTAGTGCACTACTGAGGACAGGATGCTGTGGTTTTCAGCTCTGGCCTGGAGGCTAGCCACCACGTCTGCCTGTCTGCTGTGCCGGGACACACACACTCAGACACAGGCAAGCAAGCATGCACACACACACACACCGACTGCATCTCAAATGATTCCCTATTCCCCATGTAGTGCAGTACTTCTGACCAGAGCCCCATGTTTTCTCTGCCACAGGGCGAGACTCCTCCATGCAAACAAAATATCACCGCTGATGTCGAGTGGTACACAAACAACGGGACAAAACATCCACTGTGTGAGAGGAAAAAACAAACCCCCAAACCTTGAAAATAATTTTTTTCTGTTGGGGGTTTTAGAGGACATTCTCATAAACACTCTGATATTCAGTGGCTTAAGGGAATTCAGGCAGGGTTTGTCAGCTGGGGTCATGCAAACACTTTGATTTGGATTTGGTGGGGGTGAGACTGTGTCGTTGTAAGACCTCTCCATAATTGCCTGGTAGCCTACGTTGAGTCATAATCCAAGCAGATGATGAACTAAAAGGCTGTCGGTAAAGAGCAGAAATGTACATGGAGCTGCGGCTACTGGCCTCTCTCTCTCTCTCTCTCACACACACACACACACACACACACACACACACACACACACACACACACACACACACACACACAGGGGCTAATGCCAGACCGACCCGACTCTGTCCAACTCAGCATTCATTCTGTGGTGACTCTCACTTCTGTCTCACTGAGAAGTGTACTATGTTTTTTGAAACAGCATATTAATGAATGCTCTTGAATAGCCTGCAGTAATTCTGTGCAAATAGTATTTCTGTGTAACACTTTAAATGCGGAACTTGGCAGACTTATAAATGCTATATTCACTGTTGTTGTTCTTCATTTAAGCCCCCCTGTCTTGTCCTTGAGATATTCCGTCTTTGTTTAGCTTGTGGAGATGTGGGGGAGGTTTGTAGGTGTTTTTGTCAATGAATCTCTACCCATAATTACAGTATGTAAGCCATGGAACTGGAGCCAGGAGAGTCACTGACAATACACTGTGTTTATGTAGCTCTGTCAAGGCTAAGGCCCTAACTCCCTGATACGCCTTAACACTGCCAGGATACCCACAGGCCATTCCAGATCTGTCACACACATACGCACACACATACACGGACACATGTACGCACGTACAGACACACACACACATGCTGTCCGGACCTGTCACTGGTAGCTTCTCTTACCGTCTCACTTTCACTCCTTCCCTTTTTTCCCTTCTTTCTTTAGTGGCTGGGTTCCAAACCACAGACAGGCTGTCCAGCAGTGGAGGCTGATGGGAGGAGCTATAGGAGGATGGGCTTATTGTAATGGCTGGAATGGAATCAATGGAACGGTATCAAACATATCTCCGTACCAAAAGTTCTATTCCAGCTATTACAATGAGCCCGTCCTCCTATAGCTCCTCCCTCCAGTCTCCTGTGCTGTCCACAATATAGCTGCAACTCACTAAGTAGGCCTACAATCAGGATGTATAAACCCAATGATTCAGAGGTTGGACTGTAGGAGAATGTTTCTTCTATTTTTCTTCTTCTCTTTTTGTTTTTTGCAAGAAACACAAAGCAGTCGGGAGCAATTGACATACAGCATTCAATGAGATTTTGCAATATACTGCAACTTCTATTTAGTTCAAACTTTGAGTGCAGATAAAGTTGGTTTGGAGAGTGACATGTAGGGGGGGTGGGGGGGGGGGGGACATTAATAAATATGAATAGACAAACAGTCAGGGTTATTCCAGATCTGGCCTTTCATTCCCCTGAGTGCTTTGTGACAAACAACCGCACACTGATAAAGAACACACTGATAAAGCTAGGAGCACAATCTCTATCCATCCCTCTATAAATAGTTTCTATAGCCTTCGGAAAAGCGATGTTTTTCTCGACTGAACTTTCATTTCATTGATGAAAAGATAGAATGGCATTCAATGGTGAATTTACTTTCAGAATGGCCTCCGAGTCACAGTGCTCTCCTCCCTCATTCTCTCCTTGAGCTGTCCTTGTGTGGCTCTATAGTGTAACTGTATACAGCTCTTAGCACCTCAGGAGAGACAGACACCTAGTGTATGTGCTGCTCAGAAATAGCACCTTTGTCAGTGCATGAAATACCAACCACCTTAACCATTGAGAATGTGTGGCAGGTCAGAGGAGACATTCTGTGTGGTTATGACATTATGTTGTGACAGAAATACATGGACATTGTAATTGACGATATGTGTAGATGGATTATGTCAACTCCTTTCTATATATAGTTTTTAAGGTAACTGCCAATGAAATGTCAAAATGATTGAAGGACTATCCAATTATTGAAGTTTTATCCAGATGCCTAGAGGTAGGGGCTAGGGATACAATAAAAAATTGGCACTTGGGTCCATCATGTTCCTTTTTCTCATGAAGTCCTCTCGCAGTTGTTGACAGATAGCAAGTGTTTCCTGGTTTAGTATAAACACAGCAGCAAGTGGTTTCAACTCCTCACTCTTTCCCAGCATGCAGTTCTACTATCTGAGTGGGACACAACCATCAGCACATTCCTAGAGAGTCGAAACTTCACAACTATCTCTCCTTTCCTATACCTACATCCATACGTTCATCCCCCTTCCTTCCTTCCTTCCTTCCTTCCTTCCTTCCTTCCTTCCTTCCTTCCTTCCTTCCTTCCTTCCTTCCTTCCTTCCTTCCTTCCTTCCTTCCTTCCTTCCTTCCTTCCTTCCTTCCTTCCTTCCTTCCTTCCTTCCTTCCTTCCTTCCTTCCTTCCTTCCTTCCTTCCTTACTTCCTTCCGCCCTTGTGTCTTCTCCCTCTCTCCCATCATTCGTCTGTCTCCCGGCCTCC